CATTATCATAATCCAATCACGGATTCAGGTCATAAGGAACAAGAGAAGACTCAACAAAATAAAAAAACGCACAAGTTCATAGAAGCTTAAAGCACCAAAATCGGATTGATTCAAGATTAACGGAACAAGCAAAATGTGAATCAATCAATTCTCATGTGACATATAGGATCCATCAAAATATGTATTAAACCTAGATCCATACAGCAAACACAAGAAGACATGTAAAATATGGAAGAGACAACACGGATTCATACAAAAGTTTAAGAACACATAACCTCAAGAGCACCAAGGCTCTAGATACCAAAACTGATGGAACCACTTGGAGAAGATTGATGTTCTTCAAGTTGAACCATGCTAAGTCCCTTTCTTCTCTTGAGGTTAGACACTCCAATGATGAAGAAACACCTTTGAAGAAGCTCCAATGGTGAAGAAGCACTAAGGAGTGCTCGGTTACTCCTTGAAGAAGTAGAAGATGGAGGCTCCAAGGCACAAAGGTGGAAACCTTTGTGAAGGAACTAGGGAGAACTTGTTCTCCACGGTTTTGAGACTTTGAGAAGAGAGAATTCTTTTAGAAATTCTGATTTCATTCATCCAAAGTGAGGGAAAATGAAAGGTTTACAAATTTATAGAAGTAGGTAGCTTATGGAGCAAGCTAACCTTAACCATGGTTCAAGTGAACCATGGTTTGGTTGGCTTGACCATCCAAGCTAGTTAAGAGGCTTGTGGAGCAAGCTTCTCACTTAGCTTGCTTGGGAAGCAAGCTAGGAGAAGCTTGTAGCACAAGCTTCTCAACTTTGAGAAAGGATAAGCAATTTGGCCAAGACAAAGAGCTAGGCAAAGGTGGGCGGCTAAGGTCCTATTTTGCTCACTTTGATTATTTCAAAAATGTTTGATTTGGTTTAGTTAGGTTCATCCAATGATGATGAGACCTAGCTAAATCAAATCTATGAAAAATTAGGTGCAAAATGAGTCAAATATGTAAAATTTTGCCTAGGCCCAATTCTGGCCCAATTACTAGTCACACCTTCAAGCATTGCTAAATGCCACCCCACTTTTACTACTGGAAAAATAGAAAATGAGTGTATCAACAAAAGAGGTTAAATGGAGTCAAACTCTCCAAGTAACCCACCCTAGAATCAATATGTAATGACTAATAAAAGAAACTAAAGTGCCTCACAAATACAAAGGCAAAAATAAGCCTATACAAGAGAACTATGTACAAGATATTTGCAACATATGAAAAAGGTCTTCAAAATCATCCCATTCCTCTTGATTCTTTTAATGTATCTCCTCTTGGATTCCTTGACCTTGGCCATAGTCTATCAATCCCCCATAATGACACCTACTTGTTATAAATTAATATGCAATTCAAGGCAAACTTAGAAATGAAGATAAAGAGTAACTTAATTGAAAGAGAGGAAATTAACTTCATCCTTCACTAGACCAATCAAGAGCTTACAATAATGTAGAAGTTGAGTACAAAAAGTGCTATAAAAATATAGCATGATTTTGAAAATCAGTTGAGAAAAAAAAAATAAAGGCAAAGATTTACTTAGTTAAAAGATATACGAAATTAACTTTCTTCATCACTAGACCAATCAAGAGTTGTTAGGTATTTTTTTTTTTGGTACAAAACTACAAGTATTCTCTGTAGCAACTCTAATCTATTAAAATTGCATCAAGGCTGAACTAATTAAATTGCTATCTGTTCATAATAGAGGAAACCACATAATAACTTGGTTGTTTTACCAATGATTCAGGAGAGAGGAAATAAACCATTTTTGTTTAATGTGTCTGAATTTTGTACCAAAAATAATTTTAGCCTTTTATTTAACATCAAATTATGTCACGTAACTAAAATGTTAAATAGACATATCTAAAAACAAATGAGAGATTGCCTAAATCATGCATAAGTAATCCTAGGATTTTCAATATAATTCCTCACGTACTGAATTGAGTTAAAATCGAATAATGTAAATAGTTTAGACATGAATCAAAGATTCTCTCAACACGACCGAGAGAAAAAAGGAGATTACCAGATGTTGAAATGGGCATTGGGAGCAACAACGGATGAGTGACGAAGTCTTCCTTGCATCAACACAAATCGAACATTCTCTTGCTTGAATCGTGAGAGAGAAAAAGAGAGATTGTTCGATATTGAAACTGGCATTTTGGATTCAAAGTTTTCCCTACTTAAATACAAATGTAACATTATCTCCGCTTGAATCGTGAGAGAGAAAAAAAGGGAGATTACCTTCACTTGAATCTGATGTGTATCCAATCAGATAAAATTAAACACTGACAAACTCAAAGTCATATGATAAAGAAGAAAGATTAATGGGCTAGAATTTAAGTAGATTGGGGCCGAATAATTAAATAAGTCTATTATCTTTTTTTAATGTAATTTTTATTTTATTAATTTTATTAAATAAGTCAGATGACTTTCCATGTTACCTATGCCAACATTTAGTGTTTTAAGCTTCTTAATTGAATTTAATTAGTTAGTGGAATAGTGAGGAGTCAATTCTAGTGGATATTAAGTGTTAGTGAGAATTTATGTATCTTACCCATTTAAATTTATAAATAAGAACCTTTTGTAAAAATTTTAGACAGAGAATGAATTATTTAGAAATTTTCCAATTGAGAGGATTTTCTCTCTTTAAGTTTTTAAGAACTACTTTTGATTCTTATCCTTAAATTTTCTAATTCAAAATGACGAATCTTCTTCAACTTATCAATCTTTAGGAATTATAGCGTTATTCTTCCATTTCTTATCTCAATCCATGTTTTTTCCTTTTAATTTCTTAATTATGAGCATTTCAACCTAGATACATCCATAAAACAAATCCATCCCTCTAGGTTCATATTAGAATCGTGCAAGAGAGAAAAAGAGAGATTATTTGTTGTTGAATCGAACATCAATTTGAAGTCTTCCTTGCTTCAATATGAATGGAAATCTCAAGATAGAAACATTATACAATGTTGAAATGGGCATGGGCTCAAAGCCTTCCATACCTTAGTATGAATTGAATGTAACATTCTCTCAATTTGAATCATGAGACAGAAGAAGAGAGATAACCTCTGGTTGAATTGTGAAAGAGAAAAAAAGAAAGATTATTCGTTATTGAATCGGACATCATGAATTCAAAGTCTTTCATACTTACAAATGAAACATTTTTTCACTTGAATCACAAGACAAAAAAAAAAAAAAAGATTACAAGATATATTTCCAACCGTGAATAAAGAGATAGATAACGATATCTTTCCTAGTATCAACAAAGAGACAAACATTACTTCTATAAAATGAAAAATAAAATAGTTTTAGTATTAAATATAAAATGATGAATCAGGCTAAAATCATTGACATAACATGACATAATCAATACCATTCAAATTTATGATGGTTATCATAGAAATTTTGTTATATATATTTAACGGCAGAGATTTTTAACTTTTTATTTTTCTTTTTTTCATTTTCCCCCAATCTGCCCCTTTGCCCCTCCACCTCCCCTGACCCACCCCTTGCAATTACTCCTTCTTCCTCTGAAACCCTAATCCAACCTCCTTACCTTACCGCCATGACCAAAGCTGTACCGTAGCCTCCTTATCGGAGCGCCGCCGTCCTGACTCACTTCACCGTCGTCGACTCCCTCCTCGCGCCGCCCCTGCCGCCCGCCACCGCCGGCGCGAACGACTTCTCCGGCCTCCAGAGCCTCGACCTTGCAAAAGGGGCGTTGATCGTGGAGGTGAAGGAGAAGTGTGGATGATAGAGGTTACCGTAACGTCGTTAATTTTTGAAAAAACTGACATGTATTTTTAATTGACGTGGCTTAATTTGATTGGAGTTTGAGAAAAAGGTAAAGTGTTTTGGGACACGTCATTACCGTCCTATTTAAGTGTTGTGTTGGCGGCACTGAGTCTGCAAGTTAGACGCAGGTGTACGTTGGCGCTAGAGAGCGATATCATCCATGGCGATTGAAACGCTGGTGTTAGGTATTTGCTCGTTCCTTTTCCCCTACTCACGTTCAAGCAAGCAAGCGCATGAAGCAATCTAACGCGTGTTGTGTTTTGCTTTTGCAGGCGCTGGTCAAGAAGTTGGGAAGAGCTGCGTGGTGGTAACCATCAACGGCAAGCGAATCATGTTCGATTGCGGAATGCACATGGGCTACTGCGACAATCGTCGTTACCCTGATTTTAGCCTCATCTCTCCTAATAACGATTTCAACGCTGCCCTCTCTTGCATCATCATCACTCACTTGTATATATCTTTCTCTTTGATATTATTGTTATTACTATTATTTTTTATAACCACCGTAATTAAGGCCATTAGTTCCTCGGTGGAGTTTCGAGAGTTTAAGTCCTTTAGTTTGGTAATGAAAACTAACATTTTATTTGAAAATTAGAGTTTGTTTGAATATAAGCTCACAAGCTCTTTCGAAAGTTATTTTTTTTACTGAGAAATACTTTTTATTTTCAGTAGAGACGCTTTCAAAAGCGCTTTTAGCTTATCCAAAATTCCAAACAGACTCTTAATTACACTTAAAAGTTAAAACAACCAGCTCCTCCTCAAGATGCTGTTATTGTCATTATTGTTGTAACTGTTGTTATTCGTGTTTTAAAGTTGTGATGTTATTTGCGAAATTGGGCAGTCACTTGGATCATGTTGGCGCCTTGGCTTACTTCACTGAAGTTTGCGGGTATAATGGACCGATTTACATGACGGTAAGTCCTTTTCCTGTTATGTGTTTGATGAAATGTTTGCCTGAATATGGCTCTAATTTAATGGAATTTGAATATTTGTAGTAAAAGTTTTGGGTTGATGATAATTTTTTGTCCTGGCACTTGATGGAATATTTTGTTCAACGCTGCATGAAAAACTCTACTATAATTTGATCCTTATATGATCAGTCCCCTGTTGTATGTCTACATTGTAACGGTGTTAAATTTTTTTGTGTAACCATGCTATGTGACGGTCCTAAATTTGGTCCCTATACTTGATGCTGTTTTTTTATTTTAGATCCTATGCAAACCAAATGTACATTTTGATCCTTCCATGTAAAAAACTTCACATTTTGATCCCTATATGTTACATATTGTTTTTCATTTTAGTTCCTATTTGAAAAGTACTCTAATGTGATAACAACTTAGGGAAATGGTGGCACCAATTTGTTATTTTTTTTTCATATAGGGGCCAAAAGTTGCAATTTTTTCATCCAGGGACTTAGGACTAACACAGAAAGCAAATGTAGGGACCAAAATTATAATTTAACCAGATTTTTTAATATAATTTTTTGAAAATATATTTATATTGTAGAACGTTGGAAGAAAAGAAGGCAACATTTTTATTTATGAAACTAAACAGGTCCTTAAGCATAGGCTTCCATGTCATAATTTTACACCAGTAAATTTAATTTAGTTTTTGTTTCATTTTAAGCAGTACCCGACAAAAGCTTTGGCTCCTCTTATGTTGGAAGACTATCGAAAAGTGATGGTTGATCGCCGGGGGGAGGAAGAGCTATTCTCTTCTGATCAAATTGCTGAGTGCATGAAGAAAGGTAATATAGGATCCCTGTTGTGTCAGGTATTTAATGAAGTGAAAAATAATCTTTTCATCTGTTAAGTCAGGGATTTTAAATGAACGAAAATTATTCTTTTTCTGGGCTATAAATTTGTCACTTAAGTTAAATTTTCTTTTAATTGATAAATGTTGGCAGATTTCAGTTACACGATAAACATTTTTGTGTGTATTTTAAAATTGATTTGTTAAAAGATTCTGCTATACTTATCAGTAGTTTAGCGTATGTTTTGGACTTTTGAACACAGCAGGTTTCCATCTAAAATCACCATGCTTCTTACATTAGCATGTCAATTTCATATTATTATAATGATTGTAATTTAATTTGATTCCCTGTGCAGTTATTGCTGTTAATCTGAGGCAGACTGTACAAGTAGATGAAGACCTGCAGATACGAGCCTATTATGCAGGACATGTAAGGCTTACGAGCTTTATATCTAAAGCCATGTTTCATTTCAGCATAAAGTATAACTCCAGATGTGTTGGTGAATCTTTCAACATTAAAGTTCATGGTTAGATTTTGTGGTTATAAGATGATGGAGGATAGGATGCCGAAAAATAGGCAAATCTAGTCATTATATAACAATCAAAATAAATGGAAAGTGTATAGTAATGCATTTGAATGTCTGGAAGAGGTAGCCTTCATGAAATTCTGTAAGAATGTGTCTGGCAGCATTCAGGATTAGGGTTTAGGACTAATATCACTTGAATTCTGGTCAGTGGGGGCATCCAGGTTCTATGAAGGAAAAGTTAGATTTGTATGGTTTACTTTTATTTTTAATTTAAATTTGGTCCCTAATAATTTAAATTACTACAATGTCGGACCTTCCGTCCAAATTTCTTAAACGGAGTTAACTGTTGGTCACGTGGATGCCACGTAGATGCATAGGTGGATGCCAAATTTCTTTAATGCACCTGGAACCAGAATGACCCGTTCTGAAACCAGAACGGCTCGTTTTGTTTGCATTTGTGGTGTGTTAATTTTGCATCTGGAATGACCCATTGATGGAAAAACTAGGAGAAGTGGTAGGTGTTCTCCTCCTTGGATTCGCCAATGCTTGGACCTCTTCAATGGAGAATGAAACCGAACACTCAACAAACATCAAGGAACAAAACAAAAAAGTCAGAAGCCAAAACAGAAAACATTCAAAATTTGTCTGTTTCTCATAGGGTTTCCCGTAGGAACCCATAAGGAACTCTAATCCATGTCAAAACATATCTATTCTTGAAATTCAACACATATTTACACTCAACATCACTTAAAGGAATGCAACAGAGCATTCAAAAAGAAAAATAGAAAACATTCATTTTTTGCCTGTTCCTAGAAGCATGCATCAGACAAGGGATTGAGGGCTAATCCTACTACCCAATAATTATTCTCACTCCCCCGAGCGAGGTTTCTCACTCCTCCCTTACCTGGATAAGCAAAAGACAAAGCTAGAGCAGAATCTAGTTGATTTCCTTCTCTTGGTTCTCCTTGGTCTTTAGAGAGTGTGTCTAGTGCCAGAGTTTTCTATTTATAGATGTCAAAAGTGGCCAGAATGACCTATTTCGGACCCGAAACGGGCCCTTCTAGATCTTTTCATCATGTGTTAAATTCGCATCTAGAATAGCCCATTATTAAACCAGAACGACCTGTTCTAGAGTTGAGTTTAACTCATAACGGTCATGTTTGGAAGGACCCGTTCTCAACTAGGGTTTTATACTTTTTTGGTAGTTTGGAATGGCCCGTTCTAGTTTGGGAATACGCCGTTCTAGTTTTGGGAATTGGCCGTTTCATTTTGGGAATATCCCGTTCTGGGCTACTAAAACACCCTTATTGGGCTTTAGGCCTTCTGATGTCATATCATGTTGTTTCCATGCTTTGGGAGCTCCTTTTCTTTGATAATAGAAGTTCATTCCCTTAATCTAAGGTATGAAAATTGGAGTGTTACAACTGACGTAAAAGACTGATTTTCCACTAGTATAATGATTTAGTCTTCATATTATCAATTAATTAAAATGTTTATGAATAATAGTTAATTAATAGCTTTATTTGTCTGTATGCCATGTCTTTGGGATGGTTATACAAGGACTTGATTTGATTTTGATTTTATTAGTTAGTAATATCGTATTTTATAAATGCCTCGATGAATTAATGTTTGACATGAAATTGCAAGAAAGGGTGTGAGGATTTAAGTAAAAGAATAATATATTAATGTTACATATAAATTGGTCATTTTTGTCTTAAAATTAAGTAAATAAAATAAAATTTAAAACTAAGAATGAGTAAGATAATTTTTTTTAGAGTTTAATGATTTTTATATCATCAATATTCCATTATAAAGCTTCAAAACTGAATTCAACATCCAATATATATATATATATTCATTTTTATTGACAAAGATCATAGAATCCGTATCACAAAGGCAGTGGTATTTCCGTAGCAGACTTGTTGGCATGAAAGTTAGGTCACAGCTTACTGCAGCCATTTATGAAAAACAATTGAGATTATCCAATGATGCTAGGCTGATTCACTCTGGTGGTGAGATAATGAATTATGTGACTGTAGATGCTTATAGGATTGGAGAGTTTCCATTTTGGTTTCACCAAACGTGGACAATAGTTCTCCAACTATCTATTGCATTAATAATTCTTTTTTATGCTGTTGGCCTAGCAACAATTGCCTCGTTGGTGGTGATAGTTGTCACAGTCCTTTGCAATACTCCACTGGCAAAGTTACAACATAAGTTTCTGACCAAACTTTTGGTGGCACAAGATGAGAGATTGAAGGCTAGTTCTGAGGCTCTAGTGAATATGAAAGTGTTGAAGTTATATGCATGGGAAATCCATTTTAAAAATGGCATAGAAAACTTAAGAAATGTGGAGCTCAAATGGTTATCTTCTGTGCTATTACAAAAGGCATACTACATCATTCTATTTTGGTTTTCACCAATTTTGGTCTATGTTGCTTCCTTCATGGCATGTTACTTCTTGAAAATTCCTTTACATGCAAATAACCTTTTCACTTTTGTGGCAACTTTACGCCTTGTGCAAGATCCAATTTCAATGATCCCAGATGTGATTGGAGTGGTCATTCAAGCAAAAGTTGCATTTGCGCGGATTGTAAAGTTCCTTGATGCACCAGAGCTGCAGAGAGCAAATATCAAGAAAAGATGCTTTAATGAGAACCTCAAGGGTTCAATTTTAATCAAATCTGCAGATTTTTCATGGGAATGTAATGTATCGAAGCCAACACTGAGAAACATAAATTTAGAGGTTAGACGTGGACAAAAGATTGCTATTTGTGGAGAAGTTGGCTCGGGAAAATCAACTCTCTTGGCAGCAATTCTTGGTGAAGTTCGTAACACTAATGGAAATGTAAGCTTTTACATCTTTTTAGAAAACACTGCTAAAACTTGTGATACTTTATTTGGTTTCAACTGTGATTACCTTATTAAATTTTGCTTCTATATACGTCATTTATTGCCTTAATTCAACTTGTGGAGTGCATTTTTCATGTCTTTCACTTTAGAAGTAATGTTAATTGGTGACGAATTCTCTTTCTAATTTACAGATTTCAGTTTATGGGAAGTTTGCTTATGTTTCTCAAACAGCATGGATACCAACGGGGACAATACGGGAAAATATTTTGTTTGGATCAACTATGGATGTTCAAAGGTATCAAGAGACACTTAGTAGATCTTCATTGGAGAAGGACCTCGAGTTGTTTCCTCATGGTGAATTCACTGAAATAGGAGAGAGAGGAGTTAACTTGAGTGGAGGTCAGAAACAAAGAATTCAACTTGCACGTGCTCTTTATCAGAATGCTGATGTATATCTCTTAGATGATCCATTCAGTGCTGTTGATGCACATACTGCCACAAATTTGTTTAATGTAATGGTTTCTGCCTTTATTCACAGATATAGTATTTTATCTTCAGCATATTTTAATGAAAGATGGCTTTGGACTTTTTGAAATTTTGCAGGAATACATATTGGAAGGTCTTGCAGAGAAGACAGTCTTACTGGTGACTCATCAAGTTGACTTTCTCCCAGCATTTGACTCAGTTTTGGTAATTTTTCATCCTTAGGCATTGATTTAGATAATTTTTCTTTCCTTTCTGTTTTATCTTCTGCATGTAGCTTATAATTGTAAATGAGTGACAAAATTTGACGTTAAGATTTTTGTTTTGTTTAGACTCTATATCTCTTGTAATTTAGATTCTTGAAAGTATCTTCTTCCATTGTTATATTTACCTTAGTAGGCTCTACAGTCAAAACTAAATCATTAGCATCAGATGATGTACTTGGTTTTTTCTCCTCTAGAATTTATCTTCTTCCTACCTGTTGCTTACATAAAGATTGATAGAAACATCTCATCATTTAATGAAGTTCCCTCTCTCTACTAACTGACAGTTTATGTGTGAAAAATGTATATTACTGAGATTTTTTCGCTAAAAGCTTTTTGAAGAATGAAGATGAAAGAAATATACTTGAGAGGATACATTAGTTTTCCCCCCATATATACTTGCTAGTTTCTAATAGAATCATTAAAGATTGAAACCTTGCATTATTTCAAGGTTCTTCTGAATAAAAGGTTTGATTTGAGTATTTGTCCATAAGAGTTAATATTTGACCTCTTGTTTAAGATTTAATCTAAGCACAATTCATTGTCAGTCTAGCTCAATGGCAACTATTCATTTTTGTTCAATTCCTTTTTTGTCATTAGTAATAGTACCAACTTAGACTTGCTATCTAAAAATTGTTGATGAACAAATTTTTTTTTTCTCTGTAGTTGATGTCAGATGGGAAAATCCAACAAGTTGCTCCATTGATTTTCTCTCAACTCTCTCTCAACTCTCTCTCTCATAGGTATCAACAGCTGAAAAAAAGCTTTTGGAATTAAAGTTCCTTTGTTCCATAACAAGAACGACGCAAAGGATTAAAGTTAGGATTAAACTTTAGGGTTACTTTCCCTATCCAATCTGTATATGTATCGATAGTGTAGATTTTTGTTCTTTCAATGCCTTGGATTCATGTTTTAGTACTAAAGCTCATCATTCATCATATATGTTAAGGTTATTGGAGCTGCAATGTTCTATGCAAAAGTGGGCGAAGCAGAAATGGTTTATACAGGAGACTACAATATGACACCAGATAGACACCTTGGAGCAGCTCAAATTGATCGATTACGACTTGACCTTGTTATAACTGAGTAAGAACTTCATTGGTTGCATAAATGCACCTTAGAGAAAAAAGTTATCAATATTATAGTGAGAGCGATAATTGATAAATGATTTTTTCTTACATGTTTATCATTTACCTAATTCTTTTACAATAATTATGAATTTTTGATATACTTGTCATGGACTATTTATCTGCCTGTATTACCATTCATCTCATTCTCATATTAATATTACTGTTAGAAATATGAATCATTCCTTGGCTTGCACCTAATAGCCTTAACTTTTGGGATGTCGGCCCTTGAATACTATCAATTCATATGTGACCAAGAGGTCATAAGATGAATTCTTGTCTCCTTTTTTCATTATTTAATCAATTTCAATTTTGGGGTCAAATGCATTTTACTTCCCTAATTTATTAGTGAGTCTTACTACTCTTTCCTAGTCCTATAGCTGGTCATCAAATCAAGTAAAGGAGAAGTGTTGTGTTAGGCCTTTGATAGCTGACGTAAACCTTGTCAAAACCCAAACATGGACCACCCATGATGGATTATGTGTGCTAATTTTTGGGTGTAACCCAAAAGTAGTGCACTATATTGGAGAGTATCATATTGTTTGCCTTAATTATTGACATTTGGTTTAGGTACTTGTTGGGCAACTTTAGTTAATGCCAATTGGTTTCAAAATGAAATCAAATACGGTATCAAAGCCTATAGTCCATCTTTGTGTATTGTCTATTCCAACGGAGTGTCAGAATGGTATGCCCAATCTAACATCGAGAGTCCCACCTTACCTACCTCAGTTACTAGGGTGTGTTAGAATTGTATGTGAGAGATTATTGAGAGATTATGGGGGGAGGGACATAGGGTTGGAGTGATAAGGAGGGTGTGGGTTCGAATCCCCCCACTAACAAAAAAACTAACAATTAACAACTAACATTTGCCTATCAAAAAAAAAAAAAAAAAAAAAAAAAAAAAGATTATTGAGTACATTGGGTAAGTCATTAGTACCTAAAGGGGGGGCTTTTTCATCACCCATGGACAAACAAAACAACATAAGCAACAGAGAGACAAAAAACTCATATCTTCTTTAAACACGAAGGATTTGGATGACACCACCCCTTGGAATGGGCTAGGGGGTCACCGACAAACCTGTTTGGTGGTCATCGATGAGAGGATCTCGCCGGAGATGGGCATGGGTCCTACATGCTCTAGAAAAGGAGGCATATAGTGGTGGTGCTTGGGGAGTTTTCCGACTACTCAACTCACGACATTGTGATTGTCGATGATGGATACTCAATTTTGGTTAACTGCTGATTTCAATGGCAACGACAGACTCTAATTTTTCTGATTTTAGCGCAGCGGAAACATGTGATTTGAATGGCCATACACATGTACTTTAACACAAGTATTTCAGTCGTTTCTTTTCAAGGATTATTTTGTTTGTAATGCTACATAAACTCCTACTGTTTCCCGTTATATATTTATTTCTTGCATACATTTTTTATATGACTCTAAAAATTTAATTTCAGATCCACGTATGCAACTACAATACGTGACTCAAGATATGCTCGAGAGAGGGAATTCCTCAAAGCTGTATGTATTCGCAGCACTTACTATATAGAACTGATGCAATTAAGCTGCTTATTTAATTTGGTTTCTTGTTTTTTTTCAGACATCTATTTAAGAAAAAGCATTGTTGATCTCACTTTCTCAGTCCTTTTTTTCTAGTTCATCTTGTCATACTTTTGCCGTTTACATTTTTCATTGACCTGCCATTGATTATATTCAAAGTGTATCTTTCAGTATTTTGTAGAGTCCTTGGTTTGTACTAATAGTGTGGAACAATTTTTGTTGATTAGTTCAAGAGGTTTTGACTCAGGTGAACAAAGGCAAGCTCTTGTGGATGAGTGTATTTATGCTCTTATTTGGTGCATTTTGATTGGACAGTTAGAATATTAGGACTCTTGCTGTTTAAGGAGTTCTTTTTTTTTTTTTTTTTTTTTTTTTTTTTTTTTTTGTAGTTATTGGATTGGGCTTGTTGACCTATATTAACTATACAAGTGTTGTTGGTAGTCATGACAAATGTTTACCACACATGTATTTATATTGACAATAGAAATAGTACAATGATATCCATAAGGGCATCTCCAATGGAAGCAACTCATTTGAGTTGCTTCATGCATTGAAAAATGAAAAAAGTGGTTCTCAGTGTGCGATGTCAGTATTAAGCAACTCAAACACAAATTTACTCCAATGGTAAGAAACTTTAAGAAATTCAACTTTTAGAATCTTTTTTCTAACCATTTATGAACCAAATTTAAATTTTTATTAAAAAAGATAATTGCACTACAATGAAAGTGTTGAGAGTAATGGTGAATGGAGAGAACATATTCCTCGTGTATTGCAAAGCAAAAGATAGGTTTATATACAAAGTAGTGGGCCTAGGCCCATAAGATAAAACTATATCTAACACTCCCCCTCAAGCTGGTGTATATAGATCATATGCACCAAGCTTGTTACAAATATAATCAATCCTAGGACCCCGTAATGATTTGGTGAAGACATCTGCCAACTGATCAGTAGAGTTAACAAACTGAGTAGTAATGTCCTCAGATAAAATCTTCTCACGAATGAAGTGACAATTTATTTCAATGTGTTTGGTCCTCTCGTGAAATACTGGATTTGAGGCAATATGAATACGTGAAATCTTCTCCGGTCGTCGTGCCGCCAGTTGCCTCGTCGCTGACCTTCGCCTCTGGTCGCTACCTTCAGTTGTCGCCTTCGACCGCCACCTCGGGTCGTCACACCGTCGTCACTGGTCGCTTCCTGTCGCCGCCTCCAACTGTCGCTTCCGATTTCCACCTCTGACTGCCACTTCCGGTCGCCAACTCCGACCGCCGCCTCTAGTCATCGCCTCTGGTCGCCGACTCCGACCGCCGCTTCCGATCGCCGACTCCGACCGCCACTTCCGGTCGCCGCTTCTGGTCGCCAACTCCGACCGCCGCTTCCGGTCGCCACCTACAACCGCTTCCTGTCGCTGACTCCGACCGTCGCTTCAGGTGGCCGTCGCCTTCGATCGCCGCTTCCGGTTGCTGCCTCTGATCGTTGCCTCTGACTGCTGCCTCCGGCTGCCTCCGGTGACCAGTTAGCAGATATGTTCACAAAAATCGCTTAAAGGACCTCGGATTGATTACATTTGTAACAAGCTTGGTGCATATGATATATATGCTCCAGCTTGAGGGGGAGTGTTACAGATATTGTGAATATATTACAGATATTGTGGATACATATATTATGGCTATTATCCTCACTATCAATTAGGGATATGTTTAGATTAGTTTCCATAATATTAGAGATTAGTATCTCTATCATTTATTGTATTCACTCTATAAATAATAAGATTGGTATGTGTACAACAATACACACAATTCCTGAATCACAACAGGTGTATTGACATCTGTAGCATTATTTTGTTTTTTAATAAGGAGTCCTTGTGTTTATTTGGAAGAAAACAGGATAGTTACATGCTGTGTTAGCTTGGATCAGTATCAAGTTACAAGTTTCTGCTTTTGTTTGTCAAAAATTAACCTGATCCACAGTTACTCTTACGTTGGGTACTAAGTTTCATCTTAAATGATTTAGGTTCATAAATGTGTATCTTGTGGAGGAAAAGTGCTTATTCCAACATTTGCACTTGGAAGAGCTCAGGTATTTTGATTAAGATTTCCATTCATCTCACTGATTGTAATCTATCTTTTTGTTTGTTATCGCTAATGGATGTGTATATGGTTCAACTTATTTTGAAGAAATAATCAGTAATCACTTATTTTTGCTTGCTTTTCGGGATAACTTTTGAAAACTAAATAACGATTTTCTAGAATTTATGCTGTCCCAAACAAGCACTATTTTTTATATTTCCTTCGATATATTTTTTATATCTATAGATCTATACATATAATAAAAGATATATCTTTTTTGGTGTACAATTTTTTCTTTTGGATCATTTTATTCTCATAACTACTTTCAAATGACTTTTTCTCTCCCACTATCATTTTTTTATGTAGGTTAAAATATCTTTTTATTCCCTTTAGTTTCATTTATTTTATCTTTTAGTCTCTATAGTTTAAAATAGATCTTTTTAGTCCCTATGTTTTTTTTTCCAATCCTTTTTATTCCTTATAATTTAAGATAAATCTTTTTAATCTCTATACTTACAATTTTTTAATCATTTTAGTCTCTATTGTTAATTTTTTTTGTAACGTTGTTTGTTTTGTGTTGATGTGATTGAGGTGTTCAATTTTGTGAGGGTAAAAAAAGTGTTTAAACAATGGGTGTCGCAGTTGAAGGTACAAAATAGACGCGGAGCATCAAGAGGCCTATTTTAGAATAATTCTAGCAAAATAAATTTGATATCAGACACATAAAGTTGAATTAATACCTTTGTCACATCAACATGAAAGAGACAATATTACAAAAAAATTAATGATAGAGACAAAAAAGATTATAAAACTGCTAGTATAAGGACTAAAAGTGATAAGTATAGGGACTAAGAGGTCTATTTTAAACTATAGGAATTAAAAGGTGAAGTAAGTGAACCTATAGAGACTAAAAAAATATTTTAACCTTTTATTTATTTAGTTTTTGTTCTTTCTTCCTTACATTCCTGTAAATTTCACTCCTTAGACCTCTCACAATCTCTAGTTAATCACTCACTATTATTTTTTTTAATTTATTAAAATAATAGAGTGACATGAAGTGTCTCTTTTCCCCTAGTATTTATTAAAAAGGCATTCTTAAAAAACCAATTTGACCAAGGTTAGATTAATAAACCATGAGCCACTCAAATTGCTGGTTCAGTGACCAGTTTAATTTTAAAAACATTGATTTAGATGCAATGCTTGTCTAATATTTACCAACTTATTACAATATATAGGAGCTATGCATTTTGTTGGAAGACCACTGGGAACGCATGAATTTGAAGGTTCCTATCTACTTCTCAGCAGGTTTTTATCAGCTTGTCATTTTGTATTAATGATCTTCATTTCTTCTGTTATTTTGTATAATATAAACTATACAGAATCATTGTTGTAGAGTATAATTATTTTAATTAATATAATTTTCTTTTTATCTTTAATTAGCCTATACAGATTTTTTGGCTCTTGAGATTTGAAAAGTTTTAGTCTTTTGAGGTTCCTGAATCAAATGTGATAAAGTCTATATATAGGAGTGATTTCCTTCATTTTTGTAATCATCAGATTGTAAATAAATAAGTGCTAACTGATAGACACCAACTGGTATGAGAATAAGGACTGAATTTTATTCAATTTAACTGATACGGAATTACAAATTACATAGGAAATTTAGTAAACTGATTTGAGTGCAAAGGTTTCCTCACAAGATGTTGGAGAGCTTGGTCTCTCCCTTCCCGAAACCACTCAAAAACTGCCTACCTTTTGTCCTGCTTCTTCTGCTATTTTTATTTTGCTAATAACTGCCGAGAGGCAGTTACGCTTGCCCCCACTAATAGCACCCAGTGCCTAATAATTAAAATAACAATAACTGCTAAAACAATTCAGTCCTATTATAAAACCTAAGTCTTGGCTCTCCTCTTATAATATTTACTTATAAGAGGCCTAACACTAACCTTGTGAATAGAAAAAATAAGTGCTTGGAGTGGGAGCCCTTTACCCCAGTGGTGTTAGAGATGTTATAGAAAACAATTCATTGCCTTCACCTAACCACTCAATCTTTGAAGATAGATGATTCATTAGATGATCTCAGAGCCTCAAAGACCATATGGTCTTGGGTCTCATCCTTGCTGCCCAAATTTTTCTAATAAAAGCTTGAATTTCTGCTCAAGGTTTATGGACTAGTGCATCACCAAATAGCTTAAGCTTTTGGGAGAAACCATTCATGACAAGTAGGTCCGCCCAGCTCAACTTGGACTAGTTGGCGCACAAAGTGGCTTTCAGTATCATCATAAGTATCACAAAATATGATTCCATGCCACAAAAGATGTTTAGGTATAAATTAATCTTGAAAAGCACTTGATATTTGTTAAAAAAGAGGAAAAATAGAGACATGTTGGGCTAAAACCATGTATCTAAAAGGCATCATGGATATAGGTTTATATAGGCTTATTGTATTAAGGATTAAATATGTTTTTAGTCTCTCAAATTTAAGACAAATTTATTTTTGGTCCTTCAAATTTAAAATTGTTGTTTTTAGTCCCTGTAATTTTCAAAAATCTTGTTTTAGTCCCTTAAATCACTAATAACATATTTGAAAGTGACTAATTATGATAGTTATGCAATATCAACTGGATTTAATGTGATATTTTCACTAATAGGGACATGAATAAGTAAATTTTATGCAATAATGTTTGATAAATTTCTTAACAAAATTTGAATATAAGGACTAAAATAAGATTTTTTGAAATTACAAGGACTAAAAATAACAATTTTAAATTTGAGGGACCAAAAATAGATTTACCTTAAATTTGAGGGACTAAAAACATATTTAAGCCTTGTATTAATTATAATTTATAAATAATTAGAGGGTATTTTGTTTCCTCTAAAGCTGTGATTTTTTGCCAATAAATCTCTATACATTACATGTAAATATTGTATCTTGATTTTCAACACTTCGCCTCAAGTTGGAGCATATAGTTATGATTCACGATTCAAAAATTAGCTCAATGGTTCACAATTTGAATCTTGATTTGATTACCTTGCATGCAATTGTCCATAAATGGTGCTCTGGATTTTCATTGAGGGTTAGCAAGGTAGAAATTACACCATTTTAGAGAATGGCTTAAACCGAAAAAATGGATTTTAAAGAAAGAACCCTGGAAGAGTCTGTAGTTTGGTCCTAATTATACCATTAACTGCTTGTTAAATCCAATCTAAATGGAGTGAAATAAAAATCCTCCATATCTGAACCTTCTTGATCATCAATATTGCTTAATGCCAGTTCTGAAGGATGCCAAACTCTTGCCAAAGATAGAAATTTCAAATATACTGCTGATGTAAAGGGGAAAGCCAAACAAGAAATGATTTTTCATAAAGACACTGTAAACGATTGATATTTAATTTATGAAAATCTTTATAAATAAAAATGATCGTATTGATATATGGTGCCAACCTTGTCCAACACACAAGAACTGTATATGCTAACATATTCCTTAGTTCTTGTGAAATCTATACAATAAAATAGTATTCCAATTAGGTATCTATACATAGTTGTCGTTCTGTAATTGTAAATTTATAGTGATTAAGTATTTTTTTCTGCTTTCATTTAATTTCCGAAGAAGACAGCTATGATAACATAATTGCAAATTTCCAATTATCTCAAATAAATATTTAGAAATATATATAAGAAGGGGAGACAGAGGAATATCTATAAGGATGATGGTATGGAGTTAATTAGGCATTATTCTTTAAACAAAAGCTTCTGGTGATGCACTCTGTTTATGCTTGTGCAGAATAAATTTATTTGTCCTGTGCAAAAGAATCAGATTATGATAGTACAACACAGCTAATTTCTGTAACTTCATGAGCAGTCTATTTTCCCAGTGATGTTATCCATTAGCTGTGCTTCATAAGTTCATATTAAAACTTTCCTACTGATGTTTCTTCCATTATTTGTTGGTACCCTGTGCTTCATATTAAAACTAACTAGTAACTACTCAAATATATATATTTTTCAGGTTTAACAATCCAAGCGAATGCATATTATAAGATGCTTATTAGTTGGACAAGCCAGAAGATTAAAGATACATTCTCTATACATAATGCTTTTGACTTTAAGCATGGTAATTTCAATATTGTTGATGTTCCGTCTTGCATTATTATGCATTCATGTGCACTTGCATCTGTGTATGCAGTTCTGTTTTTCCTTTAATATTGACTGTGACCTAGAGCCTTGATGTTGGAGCATTCTTAAGTTGAAGATTACTTCTTTATATTCAATAGTTATAACAGTTTGCTAAATAATTAAGCAAATCTTGAAGAGAAGAATTTTTTGCTGTGGTATCAAACAAATTGAACTGGTCATCAAGGCTCAAAATCTTCAGCAATTCATCACTTCACCTTGCATTTCAAATCCCGATGTGTTTCCTATTCGAAGAAGATTGCGATTCTAATCGCGTAAACCCTGATTATTGCATTTGGGAGAAGCAAGATCAATTGCTTCTTGCATGGCTGTAATTGTTTCTCTCAACTTCCATGCTATCGTGCAATCTTGGATCCAATCACTCCTATGAGGTTTGATAAAATCCACACCTATTTTCATCATCAGACTCACTAAAGCCAGGCAACTTTGTTCTAAGCTTCGTCATTCCTTGCTCAATAATTGTCCCGTTGAAGAGTATCTTCTTCACATTAAAGCTCTTATTAATGCGCTTTTTTCTGTCGGCGGTTCTACTTCACATTGCTAACATATGGATTATACTGAAAGAGTATGATTTGGTTATTGCTCTCGTCAGATGTCGACTTCTTGATATCACCATTGAAGAAGTCGAAGGTCTCATTCTTGCTCAAGAGGTGCATCTTCAAAAATATACTGAAGCTAGTTTTGCTTCATTTACACCTTCAATGAATCTTACTCAAACAGATTCGGTTTCTCTAAGTGATGGTGAAAATTTGTCAAATGAGAATTCCCAATTTGATGCAAACCCTAACTATCATAACACAAATTCATACGTTGAATTTAGAGGTTCTAGTGGTCATGGTGGATGTAGTTTGTTTCAATGCTAAGTTTGTTTTTGTTATGCCCACACTACTCTTATGTGCTATAGTAGGTTCAATCCTCAGTACCAAGCCTCTACTGCATCGAACATGCCTGGTCCAAATTGGTTCCATTAGTGGCGTTAACATGCACCATTTCAGTAGAATAATTTTCAACAGTCTGGTATAAATTCCTATCATGCTCTTCTTCAATGGCAGTCACAACGACAAAAACTTAATAGAAACAAGCAACCTCAAGCTATGGTCGCAAACACAAATCCTACACTAGCATCCACTTGGTTCCCTAACTCAGGAGCTTCATATCATGTTACCGACAATTCTCAAAACATTCAACAAACATCACTGTTTGAAGGTCCAAATCAGATTTTCATTGGTAATGGGCAAGTTCTGAATATTTCGTCCTCTGGTTCCTCTTTGGTTTCTTCTCCTTTTAATTCTAAAGTTAAAATGGTTCTTCATAATCTTCTACATGTGCTTCATATCACTAAAAATCTCATGAGTGAGTAAATTAGCTCTTGATAATGTTTATTTTGAGTTTCATGCTAATCTTTGTTTTTTCAAATCTCAGGATTCCAGTTAGATTCTTCTACAAGGTTACCAATTTCCTAGTTTGCATCTCTCAAATTTAAAAGCAAGAATATCTTTCTTTTCTTATTATTGAATTATGAGGTCATTGGACCTATATATACATGAGCCTGCAGGAAATTTAGGAAATATGGACAACAAATAGGGAGACAAATTCCCGTGATTATGGGATTGTTTCTAAATACATAAACCTAGTATTAATAGCAAGATACGACTGTAATAAATAATACAATAATAGCAAGGATAAAATATAAAACTTCCTAAAATACACAATGAACAACACGGTTTTGACAATGTGGAGAATAGACACACTAGAAGGGGGTTGAATAGTGTGTATCAAAAATTCACTTTTGTGTAGTGAAGAGAAAATAACTTAATAGACGCAGTGCTAGAGAAGAGTTAGATGAAGCACCAGAGATTTTTATGTTGGTTCATCTCAACTACTGAGATTACGTTCAGTTCTCAATCCAACCACATTAAGTTCCTCTAACTTTCACAAAGTTACAAGTATTCTTTTACCAAGCCACTTCTGACTCAATCCTAAATAGTCTTTGACTTGCCTCTTTAAGAAATTATCCAAGTATTCTTTAAACAACAAGCCTCTCCAAGCTTAGCACCAAGTATTCTTTCAATTAAGCCTCTTCAGACTTAACATTAAATATTCTTTCACACAAGCCTCTCCAGGCTTAATACTAAGTATTCTTTCATACAAGTTTTTCCAAGCTCAACCCCTTACAACAAGGTAGTGAATAATTACAAAATTGTTTCGTCTCTTTTAGACATGATATAATCAACAATGAAAGCACAAGTACTCTACAAAGATATATGTACAAGATTTACAATAGAATGCTTCTTTGTAGTTTTTCAGCTCTGTGTATTTCTGTATGTATCACTATACAGATTTCTCGATGTGTATTGCTTCTATCGCTTTTGTTCTATGTGTCGCTCTTTTGCATTTGTTGTTTGAAGGCTTGATCTTTTTATAGTAGCTTTAGAGAAGATGACTGTTACAGTAACTTTGAGTTGGACTTACAATTTGCTTCACGAGTTGTTTTGTCTATCTTCTTTGTTGATCCTAAAAATTACCATTGATGTATTTAATGCGAGCATTAAATGCCTTTCAACAAAACGTGTATCACTTATTTGATTTAGTATGCTATTTATCATCATTTCCTTCTAAATTGAGCATGACATAAGCTATGTCAGTGTAGAGTTGTTGAAGTCAGCACATAGTAGTCTTTTGTAGAACCTTTTTCGTGATATCCAGGATTTTGATTTTTGACGAATATTTTATCTTTTTCTTCATTAATAGATTTCGAGAGTTCTAAAGTTTTTTTTCTTGTTCGATCTGTTAAAGAATAACACATGAATGAAATTTAATGTTAGTCTCTTTTAAAAGTATATGTTTAATACATAGAGACAAATTATATGCTTTGTCTGATTTTCTTCATCTTATAGATGATATATATTTTTCACATTTTGTTTGATATAATATATCTTTATAGATATTTGACTTTGCTTAAAAAGAAATTTTTTTGTTTGTTATCATTAAAATTTGAGAGATCTAATATCGTCTTTTGACTTAACAGACAATATATCTCATCTCAATGTCTTCTGGCTTAAATGTCACTAGGTTTCCACCAAAGACGGTGTAGTATCTAGTAGTTAATCTCTTATCCACAACTAACCCCGCATAATTTGCATCCTTATATGCTTCAAAACTTACACTCTTGTTTCGTTTGAACGAAATCCCTCTTCCTAGAGTCCCTTTTAAATACCGGACAATTCTAAGGTCAACTTGTAAATGTGTTTCCTTTGGTTGGTGCATAAACTAGCTGACTAGACTCACAACTAAAGCAATGTTTGGCCTAGGGTGAGATAAGTAAATAAGCTTGCTCACGAGTCTTTGATACATTTCCTTGTCCACAACAATATCCTTTTCCGCACTTCCCATCTTTATATTTGGATCACCTGGAGTACTTGTTGGTTTGTAAGCTATCTTACCTGTTTCTTTAAGAAAATTAGTAATATATTTTTGTTGAGATATGAAGGTTCCTTTCTTGGGATGGGCCACTTCAATCCCCAAAAAATATTTAATTCTCCCTAATGTCTTGATCTCAAATTCCGTGGCAAGGCATTGACTTAACATTTGCTGCTCCTTTTTGTCATCCCCAATTACTATAATATCATCTACATAAACCAATGATATTGTTACTCCCCCTGAAACTGAATGTTTGATAAATAAAGTGTGATCCCCTTGGCTCTGTTTGTAGCCTAGACATGTCATAACTTTGGTAAATCTTCCAAACCATGCTTTTGGGGATTGTCTTAGCCCACATAGAGCTTTTTTTAACTTGCCAACAATTCCAGCAGCAACCTATCCATCATAACCAAGGGGCAAATCCATGTATATTTCTTCTTTAAGGTCTCCATATAGGAATGCATTCTTCACATCGAACTGTTGTAGGTCCCAATCATGATTTGCTGCTAATGACAATATTACTTTGACCGTGTTCATTTTAGCAACCAGGGCAAGTGTCTCCAAGTAATCCACTCCATAAGTTTGAGTGAAACCTTTAGCCATTAACCTTTCCTTGTAACGTTGTCCGATATTTTACGGTATATACTCAATTTCACCCTACTAGTTTTTTTTCCAATTGGTAAGGTGACAAGTTCCCAAGTCCCATTATTGTTTCACTTCCATTTTCACATCCATGGCTTGTTTCCATTTCCTATCAGATAATGATTCAGATATAGAGGAAGGTGGAGGTGTGGAGTTTAGGTTTATGAGCAGGAGAAAATTTTTCAAAGAATAGGAAGTTTTGGGTGCATGTTCTGGTTCCCTTTCTAAGAGCAATGGGAAGGTCCAAGTTTTGGTCCACCTGAGCTTTTGAATTCTGAGAAACAAACTCATTATTTGAATTTAAAGGATTATAAAGTGTTACCTCATGTAATGATGGTGAGTTGGATTCTTGGACATAGACAGATTCTAGAATGGCCTTTTCTCTCCTTGAATATACCAGATTTTCCCCAAATTTCCCACCATTAGGCGCAGGTTAGGTGCTTGTTCTGTTCTTCTCTTAGTTTCAAGGACAGTCACACTATTTGTCCTGCTTTCAAGTCCAAATGCCATATTTGGAAGCATGAGAGGCTCATCTTCCTCTCTTACATTTTTCCCCTGAAGATGAGGCTGCTTGAAGTAGCTCTCTTGTTCGTTGAAGGTGACATCCCTTGAATAATAGGATATTTTTGATGGGGTGAAAACATTTGTATCCCTTTTGTGTGATTGAATACCCTAAGAATATACATTTGACATCCCTAGGATCCAGTTTTCCCCTTTCATTACTATGAAAATGCACAAAGGATACACCAAAATATTCTAGGTTGGAGTTTATTGGTAGGATCCAGGTGTGGGTAAAATGAGGATAGGACTTCCATGGGGCTTTTTGGATTCTAAGAAGGGCTTTTTGGTAAGAAGGGCTTTCCCCCAAAATTTCTTAGGAACATGATTTTGAAAAAGTAGAGCCCTAGTTTGGCCTAATAAATGTCCATTTTTTCCTTCCTGCAATCTCATTCCGTTGGGGTGTGTTCACACATGAAGGCTCATGAATTATCCCTTCCTTTTTGAAAAAAGAGTTGAGCACAAGGTTAAAATAGTCCTTGGCATTACCGAACCTAATTCACTTGATACTGACTCCAAATTGATTCTTAATCATTGACACAAATGGAAAACAAATGGAGCTAACTTCAGATTTCTGTTTCAATAGGAAAAAACCCAAGTCACCTTGGTACAATCATCTATGAAAGTTAAAAACCATCTAACACCTGAGATATTAGGGACATAAGTAGGACCCCATACGTCGGTATCAAAAGGATAAAAGGGGAAGGACTCATCTTATTGTTAATGGGGAAAGGTACACGTTTGTGTTTAAACACCTCACAATGGAGACTCTCCACATTTAAATTCTTAAACAAGGAAGGGAATATCACATTTATAACTCTAAATGAAGGGTGTCCCAACCGGCAGTGGTATAGTTGAGCTTTCTCTTTATTGGTCATGGGATTCAAATATGAGAGAGTGACTCTTGGTAGGCAGATTAAAGTCCTCCATATAGTACAAGCCATTTCATTCTCTAGCATGTCCAATCGTCCTCCCCAAGTTCTTGTCCTGCAATATACAAGAGTTATGAAAAACAATGTTGCATGAGAGATCTTTTGTAAGATTTTGTATAGAAATTAGATTGATGGATAGTTTAGGGACATGTAGGGCACTTTTTAATGTCATGGATGGGCTTATTTGGACCTCTCCTTGTCCTATTGCAATTATAAGGGTTCTATCTATTGGGGAAATTTTCTTGTTGCTAGGACATGGAGAATATGTGGAGAAGTATTTGGGTAGAGGGGTCATATGGTCAATGGTTCCAGAATCTAGTATCCAATTATGGGTAAAAGGTGTATTTGAAACATTAAGTCCAAAAAAGAATGGAAACTTACCAAAATATGTTAAGGAGCACATACTTGTAGGCTTCTCCAATTTACTAAGGAAGGATCTTACCCTTTCTATCTCTTCATGATTTAGCTGGACAGATGTTTCACTTTGTCCATTAACAATGTATGCTTGCCCTTGCCATCCCCCCATTGGAGGGCCTCCTTTCTGCCCCCATTCTTGGCTTGGGGGTTTTCTATATAATTTCCAGCACTTCTTCGTTGTGTGATGCGGCTTGTTGCAGTGGGTACACCAGACTTCCTTATGCTTTCTCTCCATATTGGGAAACCCACTTTTCCTCTAGTTAGCAACCATGGTTGTTCTTCCTTCGGCCACCATTGTTGAGGTTTTAGTAGTTGGGGTCTCTAGCATCAGTCCTCTCCAACTTTCTTCCCTTCGAATAATGGCTAGCACTTCATTAAGCCCTAGGACTTTCTCTTTTCCCAGGATTTTCGGACCTGGTCATATTTGTAATCTTCTGTGAAATATTTTTCCCTCATCAATAATACATAATATGTTTCTCTTTAATATGGTATCCAAGCTACCATAGATCTACTCTAAAAGAGCCACCAATTATTTATCCATGTACCAAGTTCAATAGTACTGAACGTCTCAAGTTTCACATTAACTAGAGATAACACAAATAAATAGTTTATAAGTAGAGGACAACTTTTTTCTGATAAACCAGTTTTGTAGGACCGAGTTAGGTTCCATGCCTATTCATCTAGTTTGGATGTTACAGTTCAAAAATGTATTGGAAAAAATTTATGTCTCACATTGATTAAAGATAAGGCAAATAAATAGTTTATAAACGGATGACAACCTTTACCTTATAAATCGATTTTGTAGGGTCGAATTAGGCTTAAACTTACTAATCTAAGACATGTGAAAACTTGTAGAAATTGAGATTGGATATTCTGTTGCTTTGATGTGTGTCATCTGATAAGTTCCATGCCTATTTATCTGGTTTGGATGTTACAGCTCAAAAATTTGAAAGGTCTATGATAGACGCTCCTGGTCCTTGTGTTCTTTTTGCCACTCCTGGGATGATAAGCGGCGGATTTTCACTTGAAGTTTTTAAGCATTGGGCAGTGTCGGAAAATAACCTTGTCACTTTGCCTGGGTACACCCTTGTTTCTTCTCTTTCTGTTTTTACAGTATATTTATTCTCTTTCTCTTAACATTAGCCATTTGATGGCATGATGAGCAAAATACACATAAATGTTTCCCACAATTAGCATGTCACGTTGAAAAGTTTATGGTTATCAAACTATTTTGATACTGTCCAATGTCCATATATGATAAATATCTCTTTTTATTAAAACTGCTCTCCTTTAATGATAGATATCTCTCCATAAATGTTTCCCTCAATATTTAATAATCTGGCTGATTAGGAAGTGACTGGCTCGCATATTTTGTGAAAGGAAAGAAGATTCGAAATGCAATTGATGTTTTTGATGTGTATGAGTTTGAGATTGCATTTTCAAATCATGTAAATGATTCACATGATTAATTTTTTAGATAGAAGTTACAAATTTTAGGTTCGTAATTTTCTATCATTTTTTTTATAGGTGCTGATTAAATCCATTTATCAAATTATGCATAAATCCAATCAATGTTGTTCAAATCAAAATCTTATCTAGGATCACAAAGGAGGTGAGAAGTCATAACTCGAGAGTCGTAACTCGGTTGTAATTCTTGAATTACAAGTTTTCACCTCCTCCTCAATTCTGGATAAGATCTTGATTTTATCAACATTGTTTAGAGACTGTTCAAAATATGGGTTTCAATTTCTATGCTATATTGTAGGCAAATGATGCTTGTATTTAAGTGATGAAAATTAAAGCAAAAAAAAGACTACAAAATTTGTGGAAAGCAAAGGGTTTTAGTAAAATAAATGAACAAGTAAAATAAGTAGAAGGGCAAAAGAATGTAAAACAGAAAGTTGTGGAGGAGGGAAAGAAACACAAGGGAAAGATTTATGAGAATACAAACCCCACACACTCTGGTTCTACTTGGGTGCAATGTTATTAATGGTGGATGGTGGCAGCCCAAAAATCTGCCATAAAATTATGGAAGATGGTGGTTACTAATTACAAATAACTTTGAAATATGGTTTATTCTCTTATCTATGGCTTCTTTATTTAATGGCCTGGATCTTATATCACAACATATATTGAGTGCATGAAGAGGCTTTCCTTCCCTATTTCTTTTTCAGTCTCATAAACAGTAGTCTTTTTCTTTTTAAGAAAAATATGTATAAATATGTACCAAAAATATTCTATTTTGATATACTCACATACCAGTTGTATTATGCTAATCTGCTACTTTGTTACTCTTGTAGGTATTGCGTGGCTGGAACAATAGGTCACAAATTAATGTCAGATAAGCGGGACAAAGTTGATCTGGATCCTAATACAAAAATAGATGTGCGTTGCCAGGTACATTTTACTTCCTACCCATTTCCAGGGATATATATCTACTTCCAGTCCAGTATTATGAACTTCGGCATATAGATGTTCCACCTGGATAGGGAAAAGCTTAGCAGTATGTACTAATAAATAAATCTGCCGAGTGATTAAAATAATATAAGTATATTGAAAACAGAAAAATTTCTCCATTTTCACAGATTATTAAATTAGTCTAACCTCTTAAGTTTAATGTTTGATGTGTGTTTGCTTACGACATGATTTGAGAGTAAGTAAAACCTTCTTTTGTCATTTCTCGTTGGAGATAAAGAAAACTCTATTTTCTTCTGCTTGTGTTGACATTGGTATAGTGGGTATAAACCGATTATAAGTTCATCTTCCTCTATAGCTTCATCCTCTTCAACTAATGCTTGTGTCTCTGTCACCTACTGATGTTCCTCCATTTATCATGAAATTGTTTCCAAAACTTGTGTGCTTTAGAAATAAGAGCAAAAAGAAATTGTAGTACTGTTTAAATTATTGTTTTTTTAGTCTTGAAATGCTTGAATACCCAAAAACAAGGAAGTCATGTAGTTAAATGTACATTTTATATAAATTTCAAATTGAGAAATATATTGTACAAATTGGCATTGAAGGTAATTCAGTCAGTTCATTTAGTTTCTGGAATAACTTTTACTTGTCTTAAATTGACAGGTTCATCAATTGGCTTTTAGTCCTCATACTGATTCTAAAGGGATAATGGATCTTGTAAAATTTCTCTCCCCGAAGCATGTTATACTAGTGCATGGCGAGAAGCATAAGATGGTTTCTCTTAAAGAAAAAATTCATTCTGAATTGGGGATTCAATGTTATGATCCTGCAAATAATGACACCATATGCATTCCTTCAACTCACTATGTAAATGCTGAAACCTCAGACGCTTTCATTCATAGCTGCTTGAATCCAAACTTCAAGTTTCAGAAATGCAGTTCAGTGGACATATGTAACTCTACTACGATAGACAGAAACTTAATGCCTGAGCTTCAAGTTGAAGATGAAAGGGTAGCAGAAGGAGTTTTGGTTGTGGAGAAAGGGAAAAAGGCAAAGATTGTACACCAGGATGAAGTTTTGCTTATGATGGGTGAAAAGAAACATGATGCTTAGTTAGCATTTGGACCTCCTGTTTTGGTGACTCAAAGGATGGCTTAACCGATGAATGCTCTTGGCTTTAATTCTTATATTCAAAACTCCAAGGCCACTTATCTAGAACCACTCAATTCCTTGGAGAGTATCTGCGGATAATCAATTCACGCACGCATCTCTCTTCTGTAGAAGTATTATTATCCTTTCAGGATTATGGAAAACTCAACATATAACCAAAGCAGTATATTTCTGCTGCTTTGCTCAGCAGTGAATGAAAAACTTGCAAGCAAACAAATTTCAGCAATGTAGAGCATGAAAATCTGGTCCATATGTTTATCTGAGTGCTCGAAAGCATGCATCATGTGAATCAACAAAAACGGTTCGATGAAAGAAAATCAGTTTAAACAGAACTGATTTGGGGTCCATATGTTTCTTTGCAAGGAGTTTGATTTCGATGTTAGACTTCTGCTATACATTTAGCAATTGGAAATTCCTTCTACAAATTTACTGTGTTTAATTGTTTATTTGATCCAGGATAAAGGAAATTACTGTGTATGTTTATTTGATCTTTTACGAGTTCTGTACAAATATTGTAGTGATTATCTCTATATTACATGTTCATCAAGAATTATTTATAAGGGTCATTCAATGATCTGCATTTCAGATTGGTTTTGTATTGTGTTTTTTAATTTACAAAATATTTCCTTTGTATGTAACATTTTTTTTAATAAAAAAAGTAACCTCAAGAGTCTAGGGATGGCAAATAAACCTGTACCCGTTGGTAATACCCGAACCCGTCCCGACTTTGACGGGGAATACCCGCTTTGACCGGGTACGGGTACGGGTAAAACCCGATAAAAGAAATCGGGTACGGGTACGGGGACAGGTATATACTTACCAGCCCCGTCCCCGTCTCCATCCCCGTCCCCGGTTAAATACCCGTCCCTGGTTTATTTTATTTTTAAAAAATTAACATTTTGTTCTAAAATGTAAAAGGGTCATGCACGCTTACAAGAGCAACGCAAACACTTAGGGTTTCAATTTTCAAACCTATTCGACGACCAAGCACTCCAGCGACGGAGCCACCGGACTAGCTACGGAGCCATCGTGCCATCCGCAGAATCAGGGAACTAGCCGGTGAATTTGGAAATAACCTCTCCTTTCACAAGGTGCTCCTTTTGTTGCCTCTTTCGTCCAATTTCGATTCGTTCCCTGCCTTTTTCAATTCCTCCATTATTTTGCTTCGTGGCTTTTACTTTTTCTGGATTCATCATTTTCTGGATTTAGGTTTAGATTTTTAATTCGTTCCTGTCAGATATAAAGATAAGTTGAAAAAAAAAATTTAACGGGTACGGGTACGGGTATACCCGATACCCGACGGGGTGTGGGATAAAAATCCCATACCCGCCGGGTATGGGGACGGGGACGGGTATGGGTTTCAGTCGCGGGGACGGGGACGAGTATCACGAAACCCGTACCCGCCTCGCCCCGTTGCCATGCCTACTCAAGACCAGTGGTTATGTTATCAAGTGTGATTATTTCATTGACAGTGAAGGTGATCTTGTAATAGAATAATCATAGAAGCCTTGCAGTTTATATATATATATATATATATATATATATATATATATATATATATTTATTTATTTATTTATTTCTTTATTTCCTTTTCTTTTGACGTGCTTGTAGTTGGTTGCGGTAGAAGTGAATTACAATCCTATATAAACTTAGTGATGTCGGGTACGAATCTTGTAAACATCATTTTACTTAATTTCTACGCCTAACCCGAGAGGTAGTGTCATACTTATGCTTGCTAAAATTTTACAATTCATAAAGGTGCTTCTGTACTTTAGACTTCATTTGGGTGGGAAAATCAATAGTGGCTAATTAAATTCATAAAATATTCTTAATTTTACGTATTTCTAAAAAGTATTTGTTAAAACGATAAATTTTGTATTTTAAAAAATACTTCCTGAAATTATGTAAAATAATTTTCTTTCGGAAAAATATTTTTTAGAATATTAATTTTATTATTTTTAAAAGTACTTTCTAGAAATATGTTATTTTATATAATTATGGAGAGTTCTTTTCAGAACAGTAAATTTAATATTTTGAAAATTATTTTCTAGAAGTATGTAAAAAATATAATTTTGAAAAATTCTTTCTGAAACACTAATTTCATTATCTCATACAATACTCTAGAATAGTAAAAATATCTTTTTAGTAATACTAAACTTAATGTTTGATTCAAAGATTGAAAACAAAAAATCATAACATAACATAAATTCAAAGACTGAAATATGGTTCAGAGACTGAAAATAAAAATTCAAAGACTGAAATATTGTTGTTGTTGGGATACATCGGTCAATGACTCCAAGGGAAAAACCATGTCATTTCATCCTTAACTGTATAGTGTCGATTTGATAGTAAGTGGTTTTTTTAATAAAAGCAAACAAGTGTCAAATATAAGGCCTTGTTTTTAATCAAGATCATGTCCTTCATTACATAATTATGCTAAAATATTGCAAGTCACTCTGCCCAAAAGTCCTCATAAACCATTATTATATTAAACTTTATCATCCTGCATAATTGTGGTATCTTTGGGTCTGTATTTTAAGTATTCACATGATTGGTGAGGTAGGTGTGGTGAAAAGAACAAGGCTTAGAGATACTTGTTATTTTGAGAGCAACATAGAACAGATTAAAGCAATGGCAGAGATGAAGAACCTATCAGGGACTTCACTCTTGGTACCATCAGTTCAGGAGTTGGCTAAGCAGAAATTGTCTACTGTTCCACAAAGATACATTCAGCCTCAACTTGAAGACATGGTGATCATCTCTAAAGAACCAAATAGTGACCTTGAGATTCCAATTATTGACATGCACCAGCACAACTTGCTTTCAACAGAATCTGGGACTTCAGAATTGGATAAGCTTCACCTTGCTTGCAAAGAATGGGGATTCTTTCAGGTCACTATCCAATTTCTTTTATAACTGTAAACACATCTTTTGATCTGTCTGATTTTGGACTGAAAAATGTAGTTGAATTGAAAAAAAAAAAATTATACAAATGATTATATCATTATACATGTTAAATTTAAGAGTCAACATATAATTAAATAATATATTTATATTTATATCTATATCTATTTTTATATATTATTAAAAATAAAATATTCTCTTTTAATGTTTCTCGATCAAAAGTATATTAGCTACTTTAGAAGTCATGATTAAGATTTTTTTTTCTATTGATTGAAGGTATTAATCTCTAATTTATTTGGTTGCTAATCATCTTGTAGCTGATAAATCATGGTGTTGGCTCTTGTTAGAGAAAGTAAAGTCGGAGATTCAGGATTTCTTCAACCTTCCAATGTCAGAGAAGAAAAAATTTTGGCAGAGTCCCCAACATATGGAGGGTTTTGGACAAGCATTTGTTGTGAGTGAAGACCAAAGACTTGATTGGGCTGACCTTTTCTTTATGACCTCTCTTCCAAAACATTTGAGGATGCCCCACCTATTTCCACAACTCCCTCTTCCTTTCAGGTTCTCTTCCTTTCTTTTTTTAGTTGATAAGAAAATAGATTAGAGTATAATTTAATTTTATAAAAATTTATAAAATAAAAATTATTTCTCACTTATATACATACAAAAGATAAATGACTACTCTTTGTTATGCAGGGACACTTTAGAACTTTACTCACAAGAACTTAAAAATCTAGCCATGGTTGTTGTTGAACAAATGGGAAAAGCTCTCAAGATTGAAGAAATAGGAGGGATATTTGAAGATGGGATACAATCTATGAGGATGAACTATTACCCACCATGTCCTCAACCTGAGAAGGTTATTGGCCTGACACCCCATTCAGATGGAGGTGCTCTCACTATCCTGCTTCAAGTCAGTGAAGTAGAAGGGCTTCAGGTAAGGAAGGATGCCATGTGGGTTCCTGTTAAGCCCCTTCCTAACGCCTTCATTGTAAACATTGGGGACATGCTCGAGGTAATATAAGTACTCATTCCATCTATATCTTTGGTTTCTAATATGGTTTCAGATTCTTGAAATTCAAATTATACAATGGCTCAATTGAAGATTTAACCATTTATGTTTCACAATTTCTCCAATTTTTCAATTCAACTAACAAAATTATATATTTTATCACCAAACTTTCAAACATTTTCTCATTTTGTAATTGATTGTTTGATGTCATTGACATTCATATTACATTATGTTAAATTATCATTAACAATCTATGTTAGCAATCAACTAATGACATTAAATTGTTGATTAACACAGTGATAAAATGTAAAAAAATTTAAAAATTTAATAAAAAATATATAACATGAAAATTTTGGTATAAAATTTACAAAATCATAAATCATAAGTGACAAAAGCAACAATTAAGTATAATATAACCGGCTGTTATTATTTAATTAAAAAGATTATACTTAATAAGTTATAACTATTAAACTAGAGTATAGTTTGGTGGCAGCATACTTCTTAAAAGAAAATATCTTTGTATGTCTTAGCCTTGTTTGTTATGATGGTTATTTTTTTTTGTTAGTTATCTTTAGGGATTAATTTGTCCTTTCCAAGTACAAAAATATAAAGCTTCTTTGCCCTTTAATCAATAACAGAATACACATAATACATGAGATAGCTTCTGGTGCCTTTCTCCTTTCTTGGTTTCTTTTTGCTTCTTCTTTCTCCATGGCATGATTGTAGTTCTTGATGGTATCAGAGCTTTTCAATTGAAGAGCTCTGTTACGTGACTCAATCGTTCTTCCTCTTCTGTTAATTGGAATTTCGTCTCCTTCTCAATCTCGTTTTCCCTCTTTGGTTAATTAGAGTTTCGCCTCCCTCTCTTCACCTTTTTTTATCTTTTTTGTTTGATTGATTTTCTTGGATGATGAATACACAATCCAATCAAACCCTAAATGTTCATAGTCCTTACTATTTGCATCCTAACGAGAATCCAGCCACTGCGCTTGTCTATCCTCTATTAGAACCTACGAATTACAACTCGTGGAGTCGATCAATGCTTACTATCTTGAGTGCCAAGAACAAGGTGGAGTTTGTTGATGGAACTATCACACAGCCCGCACCAAATCACGTTTTATTCTCAACCTGGAAGAGGTGTAATGATGGGGAAGAGCCAGAGGATGCCCCCCAGGCAGAAGATGCTGAAACCTCTTCTGAGGAAAACACCATGGATGAGGGAAACCCGGAACCCGAGAATGAGGCCGAAAGAAATCCCGAAACTGTCATTCAAGCCGATGCCGCCCGAACTCCGGAAGAGTAGTTTAATGTTTGATAGGTCTTATGTAACTTTAAACTTTTGTTTGAACAAGTGTAGACCGGGGGCCGATAGAGCCTCCCTTTTTTAGAATGTAATGATATTGTCTCGTTTTGACTTGTGTCTTTAATACGTCTTCTTCATTCGAAGTACTTGTCAAATTTGCACGTAAGACTCAAGTAATAAGTAGCCGAATCGGTATTATTGTTTGTAAAAATGAAAAGAAACACTTGTATTCTGGAGCAAGACCGAGTGGAGTCCCTCGGAATTGCCTTGTCTTGCTAGCAAAATCGAGTGGAGTCACTCGGAGTTGCCTTGCTTTTTGAGGAAGACCGAGTGGAGGTCACTCGGACTTGCCTTGATTTGCTGGCA